CGGTTTTTATGGGTTGTAACACTTTTTACTATGTACTTCTGGATCCACAAAGATTTTACAGAATGGGACAAAATGACTAACACACATACACACACGTCTGGTTAGCTATCCTTGTGGGGACTCTCCATAGGCGTAATGGTTTTTCTACTGTACAGACCCTATATTCTATTGCCCTACACCAACCCTACCCCTCACAGGAAACTTTCTGCATTTTTAGATTTTCAAAAAACTTCCTTCTGTACAATTTATAAGCTTTTGTACCTGTGGGGACCACAATTTAGGTCCCCACCGTGACACGAGTCCCCAGGAGTCTGTGTGTAGTCAGGTTTAAGTCCCCACCAGAATATATAAACCAGTACACACACACACACACACACACTTACTTACTTACTAAATGGGAACATTCCATACTTCTATTGTTTTTATAAATACTTCAACTGAACCCTAACAGAAACCTCCATGCATTTTTTTCACTGATTTTTACAACAAAAAAAAAACTTCTGCATTTTTACAATATTACTTTACAGTTTTTGCAAATAAGAACATGCCCAAAAGGAGTTTTTTTTGTGAGATTTATGTAAGATACAGCTCATTTCTGAGTACACATTTGTCCCAAATATAGATTTGTTACTGTAGCTATTGTTGTTAGAGATGATCGATATATTTCCCATTTGTTTACTATTTGGAATTAAAATGAAATGAGCTGAGGAAACTCTTAATTATTCTAAAAAAGTATATTTGATTACCACAATACAGTAAATTGGCTGTAAATTTGAATTGGTGTTACAAACAACCCAAGTAGTGGCATAGACTGTAACAACACTCTTTGTTTGACATTAATTTACACAGTTTAGGAATAAGTTGCAGATTTATAAACTGCATTCGTTTGTAGCAGACAAACATGGAAATGAATTATTAAAGATCGAATCATACAGTCCAAAATAACACTGAAATACAGATGTTTAAAAAACGTGTTACAACACTCCTCGACTTTGTGCGAAGAGAAGCGCAACCCTCAGCCAATAAGCGCACAAGCCTTCAGCTTCTTTCATTCCCTAATAAGACCAAACCCAAAGCCAGGGAAAATTAGCTGGATGGATTAGAACAAATCACCAAGTGAATGCCTATGCATGAAGAATACCATCGTGAGACACCAAAATAATCGCAAGACACTCGGGTTTCATGCGCGCGTCTCTTCGGCACCAAACTCTGGTGTCCACACCTCCCCATTTGTGCGCTATTTATCCACATGCACCTGCTCGCTAGGACACATTCGATGTCATCGCTCAGAAAATTCCTTCATGCAAAGTGGGTTCAAACAACGCCGATTGATCTCTTCCACACAACATCTCCAACATCATGCACCCTCCTTACCATGACAGCCGTCAGCCTCGCCTCTCCTCGGGAAGCCGAAGGGGTTCCTCCGCTTTATCCGTGATCATTCGTCAATTCGCAATTCGGACCCACATCTCAGGGGCACGCGCAGTCAAGTGACTTCGCGTGGGAGACTAAAAACCAGATATCAGACCTGCCGGTGCTGATCAGAGTTTTTGCGCAAGACTGTGCGCAAATGCACGTGCAGGTGTTCCCGAGTGGTTGACAGCGAGTTGTGATTGTGAATGCCCCCCACCTCCCTTTTCCATAAAAGAGCAGTTGTACTGAACGCCTGACGCGCACAACGGTGAGTTTGGAAACACGTCGACCTTTGACAAGAGCGCGTGTTTTTGTAGCCTAATGCAGCCTCTCGTGTCTTTAACACGCATTACATTAGATCTGGATTCTACTGGGACAGCATGTTTAGCGTTCAGGTGCAAAACGATTAATGCTTTAAGACATGTTTTTGTTTTTAAAATTGAATATATGAATAATTAGAATTAGCCAATACAATAAGAATGAGAAAATATTAAAAGAAGCAGAGCAAAGAAAAAGAGAAAAAAGGCATGGAGAAAAAAAAGCAGTGTTGCCAACTTAGCAATTTTTCAGACTACCCTTGCAACTTTTTCTTCCAAAAGCACCTAGCAACAAATTGAGCTATTTTTGAATGTTATTTGGCTACTTTTAGCAACTTTTGATAAGTGACTCAAACAATAAAAAGGCTCACATTTTCCATCTAAATTTCACAAAAAGAGGAAACCAAAGATGCCTAGAAGTACATACATCACATTAATTAAGTTATTGCTATTTGCAGTTGTTCAATTTGATAATAACAATAATAATTTATTGTTTAAATAAATAATACAATTGTTCATTTATGATACACCTTGTTAGTAGCTTGTACATGTGATTGTTGATCAGTTAGTACACTGTAAGAAAAATATCAAGAAAAATGGCAAAGGTACTAGTAATTTTCCAGGACATTATCCTTTATCCATTATCAATTATCCGTTGTAACCCTGTAACCCGAAAACACAAAATACAATGCGTAATTTAAAATGCAGGTAAAAACCTGTGATTTATTTTCTTAGAGTGTAGCAAACTGACTACTAATACACTGCTTAAAACTCTAATTGTTCAGAATGTGTAGTTTTACTAGTTTACTAGCTAATAAAAAAAACTTAATCGTTCAAAAATTCAATCGTTGAAAAGTGTTCAATGTTGTATATAAAAGGTTATTTATATTTTAACATTATATTATGCATTTATATTAGTTTACGAGCAAATCTACATTAACACCAAATATATTTTTGCTGAGATTTGATGTAGTGACAATTTTGCGTCACATCACAACATCATTTAGCAACTTTTAGCAACAAATCGACCTTCCTTTAGCAACTTCCCCTGAAAATTAGTTGGCAACACTGGGAGGAAGGGACAGAAGAGGAAAGAAAGGAACGAAACAGAAGGGAAGGTGTAGGGGATGGGGAAGAGAAAAAAAAGCGAAGGAACAGAATAAATGAGTTTGAGAGAGGCGGGGCATAGAGGACCTACAATAATGTACAGTATTTGAAAAATAATGTGTTTTTTGAACATTAAAGCATGTCAGCATATTCTGTTACACCAAATAATGATCTTTAAAAAAGCATCATATGACCCCTTTAATGAATAACACTTCCTGAACCCTTCAGGATAATCAGAGATCTTAACCCATTTAATCCCACACACCATTTGTTAACAAAATGTACCTTTGAGTTTAAAAGGTCTGAAAATAATTTGTTGCTGTATTTTATAGTTTAACTCCAAATTTAGACAGGCTGACTTTTAATTGTTTTGAAATGATCCAGCGGCTGGAAGCTCGTCTGAGGTGCTGCGGGGCTACAGTTATTAGCCATCCAGTCCTTCCCTTCCCTACAGCCTCATTTTACCGTTCACAATTTACCTGAATATTTCCCAACAGAAAAAAAAAGCAATTTGCTGCATTTGTAGCAAAGTAAGATTCAAAAAGTATGAGCGAGTTGATTTCCACCTTAAGGGACAGAAAACATGTAGGCTATGTGGATATATTTGGTAACATAAAAACAGGCGAGCAATTTGCACTTTGTATTATGTGCATTTTTTGCTGAGAACCACACATCTAGAGAAAACTATAGTTAACTGTATTTGCTACAACGATATAAACACTTAAGGTTTACTTATTCAGAATACTTTTACAAATTACTTATGTCAACCATTGTGTAAACCATTGTTTTTTTTAATGCTTGTGAATTAAAAGAATAATGTTAGTTAACTAATCTAAAAACAGGCGAGAAATTTGCACTTTGTATTATGTGCATTTTTTGCTGAGAACCACACATCTAGAGAAAACTATAGTTAACTGTATTTGCTACAATGATATAAACACTTAAGGTTTACTTATTCAGAATACTTTTACAAATTACTTATGTCAACCATTGTGTAAACCATTGTTTTTTTAATGCTTGTGAATTAAAAGAATAATGTTAGTTAACTAATGCTAGTTAAGCAATCGTTCAAAAATGTTTGTTTAAGTAGTACTAGCTTAACTTTTCACAGCTGTCTGTAGCCTAATCACCCAGATTGGCCTTCATTTGGTCACAAGCATATACAAATGAATGTTCAGTTATGGTGAATACAAATAGCATGTAAAATAAAATGTTTACAAGCAACAAAATTAATACAGACAAATACCAGCTGTCGTTTTCAGATTTCTACAAAGAAAAATGTTGGTTTAATCTGGTTATGGCATTTAGGTTAATGTGGTATAATGTCTGCATGCTAATGATGCACACACAGAAAATCAACCAAATTTGGATTATTATCAGAATATTCATATGCACGAAAATACAGGAAAGAGGGAAAGCTACAGGAACTTCTGTAGTTGAGAAAGTTTTTCAAAGTGGGTAATTTTACTGGGGTAAAAAACAAATAATAAATAAATAATAAACAATCTCAAACCTCAGTTGATCATTTCAGATGATTGTTACAATAGCATGATGAAAAACAGATTTGGGGGAGGGGGGGGGGGGTTACTTTATCATAGAACTAAGTATGAAGTATAAAAAAATCAAATATGTGGGTGCGCTGTTATGTCTATATTGCTGTGACATTCATCACATTCTTTTCACTGATGTTTCAGCTGCCAACATCAACAGAATGATGTTGAGCATGTCGAGTTTTCCAGCTAGCTTTTGTTTGTTTCAGGGACAAAACGCATAACATTTTATACAAACCTAGTGGTTAACTCCAGCAATCCAACCTTACATGAAGCACAATGCCACTGACCGAACCAGCTGTGTTGAATGAATGACTTAGAAGACAAGAAAGGCATTTCTAGCAAGATTTTGAAACTCTGTTTTGTTGCATTTTTAAAAAAAATGTAAGAACCAAATAGCCAGGCACACAAAGAAAACTACTATTATTAAAAACGAATTAAAATCCTCACATTCATCATTTGCCACAGCATGTTCAATAACATGTTTCCCAGGAACTGCATATTAGAGAATACACTTGTGTGTTGCAATTAGTAGATGGTACTTGCTAAATAAATATAGCAAATTCCATTTCTAAAATAAATCAAACGACTAAGAAGGCAACAGGCAGCCGGGTTCTTGGTTACTGGTTACATTTTATTCTATGTACAGGAATTTGTTATAAATATAATACATCATTTTTTTCAGAAAAGCAGTCATGTAGATACATTTAAATAACAGTTTGATCATAGTAGTGGAGATGACAGAATGAGAGCTGAGGTGGTGGGAGAGGATGATTGGTTTGTAGAAAATTAAACATCTCCGGAGAAAACAGTCTACCCACACAAAGATGCACAAACAGAAATATGCCCTCAGACTGACTTTTACCCCCTATTGGTGTCCTTAAAGGTCCTTAAAATCTATGCTGTTTGACTGGGCAACATGGATTTGGCCATTTACCCTCACTGGGGTATGAACATTAAGATGGCTCTTTGTTGGACTTCATCGATTCCACTGGCTTCTCTCAAGCTGATATTAAGTTCCATTTAACGCCACATCTGCAGCCTGCCCGAACAAGGCAGAAATATGTTGTCCTTTCAACAGCTGCAATGGTTTCAACCACAGCTCATCAGGTTACAGTGTTGTGTTTCATCTTCTGGTTTTAAGATGGTGTTATTTTTTTGTTACTGTGGCAACAGAGCACAGTGGACAACCGTGAGATAGCCGGCAGGGCAGTATGAGGCAGAGATGCATAGCCATTTACATTACCACATTTTTGGGATCTTGACAAAATTAGTTCTAAAAGCAAAAAGATTTCATAAAACAAAAGCAAAATTCTTCAATAGATACATGGTTGACATGAGAGATAAATTTACATGGGAAAAAAAACCGATCCAGTCACGCTTCAGGTGCATTTAAGACAAAACATCTAAAGTCTGTTTGTGTTCAGCTCACCATTGCAGACCATACAAGCACATCAGATGCAGTGTTAATTTGAAACATGTGTTCAAGTCTTTTTAATTATCTCTCTCAATTAGATTTTGTTTTAGCAAGTAGTAGAAAAATCTTGGATTCCGGTCCATTTCATTTATTTAGGTGGGCCAAGAACTTTGAAGAAAGGTTGGATCGACGTTGCGGAGTTACTCAAATGCTGTTGATGATAATGAGGGCAGGCATGGCGCTCTGCTGGCTGGTCTCACACATAGCGCTGGTCTGTGCCAACTTGGCGAAGACACGGGGTGTGCCCAAATTATAAACTCCAGCCTGGAAGAAACAAGCTTTCAAGAAAAGCCTGTACACCTCTTGACCCTGGAGCTGCAACTTATATTGGGTCTGGCCCAGCCAGCTAAAAGACCCATGCACTTCCAGTGACTCCGGGCTGCAAAGACAGACAACAAGAGTATGAGACTGCTTTGAAGTCCAAATGCTTTCCATATTTTGAAGATTTGGACATCAGGGATCAGGAAAACCTGAGATGTACCTGGTCGTTTTATGCCGCAGATCAACAATGACGTCTACCTGAGCCAAGGAACAGTTGGACAACGTCAGGGTGACTGGAACCGTACATAAACTAAGGAAGGAAAAAAGATGTCAAGAACATCGATTGTTTGGAGATGGGGTTCAGACTAGAGGTCTTCACAGGTCCACTTGGGTCCGACCCGAGAGGGTTTGGGTCCAAAACTTCTACAAGTGTCTCGGACATGGGTCGGGTTCGGTATTAGCGGTCTTGGGTCTCAGGTAATTTAAAATAAAAGTGCTTTTTACAAATGGACCCGATAAGACCTGAATTCTTTTAAACCAGGGCTGCCCAAACTCGGTCCTGGAGGGCCGGTGTCCTGCAGAGTTTAGCTCCAACTTGCCTCAACACACCTGCTGGTAAGTTTCTAGTATGCCTATAAGAGCTTGATTAGCTGGTTCAGGTGTGTTTAATTGGGGTTGGAGCTAAACTCTGCAGGACACCGGCCCTCCAGGACCGAGTTTGGGCAGCCCTGTTTTAAACTATCTGTGTACTTGTGTTAAGTGTGGAACGCACATAGAAAAGGAGCATACGTTTGTAACCTCGCACACAGAAATCATCTTATCGATATGAGATCTGTCAGGAAAATCCACTCGCTTCATTATGCTGCGTGTTCATGCAGGGCTTTTCTTTTTTGTGTGTAGAAGCCTTTCGCCAGATTAGGTTGCAGACAACACTAGAAAATCATTAGGCTATCGATTTAATTTTTATCAAACTATCACGTTTATTTTTCAAAGCCACTGGTCACAATTAAAGCTGAACTCAGAAATAACTTGTAGCCTATCCATCAGGCAGGCAATAATATAAAGTAATAATAAATTGAATAAATGTTAAATAAATCAAAGTAATGGAGAAATGGCCAAATCAGTCAGCAGGACACCGGGATTTTTCTTTACTGAGTGCGGGGCTGCAGGCTGTATACACGTCAATGCCGTTTATGTTCGGGTTCGAAAATAAATGCTGTCGGACTCTGAATTAATTTCATCGGGTCTGTCTCAGGTTGGGTTTTTCTTTAAAAAAAAATTATTTATGCACGTCGGGTTTGGGTAAGAAGCGATTCGGGTCGGGTACAGATTTTAGGGCCCGAGAAGACATCTAGTTCAGACAGGTCTAATTCTTGAAATTTCTCCTCTTGATGCAATGCTCTGTGTGTCCTCCACAAAAGCAAACCGAAATCAAACAGTCTATTCTTCAGTTAAAATAGAAAACATCAGTACTTGCGTCTCTTCATGACATTGCATTGGAACATGCGCAACAACTCAAACATGCGCCCAAGTTTTCAAGCCAGAAAAAAATTTATTATTCAATTTTGCGATGTAAAATAGAGCACTCGACTTTCATCTGGATATTACTTTGATCAATGGGTCTCATAACTTCTGTTAATCCCATACTGTGGTGTGCAGCAACTTTAAGTCATTTGTCCTGAAGCACAAATATGGATGGACTAACCCATGACTCTGGAACATTCATCTCCTCATGCTACAAGATGTTTGGTTCAATTTCCTGGTTAATTTAAGCTCTGTATGGCTGTGCTGTTGCACAGTAAGACGTGTTTGGCCTGGTTTAAGGTTTTCGATACTGTTCCCAAATTCTAATATCCTAAAATTAAAATCACAGTAAATAAAATAATTTCCAGTGATTTAAAAAATGACTTTAAACATTTAAAGTTGTCACGAAATTAAAATAAACCCTATTTTGTAAATGCATGTTATTTTGCATAACTTATTCATGTATCGGTTTCTCTTTTTTTTTACCTTGTAACATATAATCAAAATGTCACAACTATGTTTTTCTGGTAAAAATGACAGACTTCAGATGATGAATGTCAGACTGCAATAATCATTTAGTCCCTCGTCCCTCCACAATCGACTGCAAGCTTGGGCTAATTTTTGATTGCAACCGCCACATCAAAAATCAAATCAACAACCGGATCAATATAACCAATTTCCCCCTTTTCTTATTTTCCAATCATCTGTTACACTCTGATGTATGTCACAATATGGAAGAAAGGATCTGTCGCTGCTTCATTTTCATCCCAACTTTAAGATGTATAAAGTATTTCAGCTATTTTTAAACTTTAATTTTATATCAACTTTTTTATTTTTTTTTATAGATAGTGTGTTGTCCTGACCGGATACAACACATCCAGCTACAAGCCAAGTGCAACAAATCAACAAAATGTCCTAAAGCTTGTGATCAGTAAGGACAAAAACTAGACAGGCAAGAGATTTTAGCACTTGGCAGTTTGTCAAATCTGATTAAGACAGTTTGTTAGGGTCGTTATGATTGCATTCCTCAAACGGCCTGTTAACTAGACCTTCGTTTTGCAGTTTGCATATTACCACCTCATTACCACCACTGATTTCTGGCATCAGTGCTTAAAGTTGCAATGTAATTGAAATAGCGACATCTTTTCTACTGTACTGATGTAAATTCTAGTATCGAAAAATAAATGTAAAAATGTAGGGAGGGGTGTGGTTCTATCCATTGGTTTTTGATTGGATGGAGGCAGATCTGAATGCAAACTTGAGGCTAACTGTAAGAAAGGGGCAGAGTTTAAGCAAACTAAATGGTTGGAGAAGTCTATTGATTTCACAAGGAAGATCCAGTTATGACATTTGGATTAAATATTACTAGGTCAAAATATGAAATGCATGGATAAATAGTTTGCAATAAGATCAATAAGATGGATTTCGAAAATAGGGAGAATTTCCAATTCATGTCAACCTTAATGGGGTTTGTTCGCGTTGATTGTGTGCTCCTAGAACGGTGACAATGTGTTTCGCATTTCAGAGAGTTTTCTAGCTGTCGACTGAGGACTGGCCTTTGTTCCTCAGAACAAACAAATTTATGAGAGCACATTCACACAAACCCAAGGATATGAGTGATGACTGAACGCTTTAGGAAACGCATCAGCTCGACGCGGTCCAGTTTATCTCCATCTTTCACATGGACACACCTACTTTCCACGCACCATTGCAGAACTAGGCCAGACAAGCGCTCCCTGTGGGCGTCACTGGGCATGTGAACATTAGCGTACGTCTGCGTGAGTCTTGTCACCTTGGAAACACAGTCAGCGGATTTCGGCTAACCGATTCAGGTCTCTTTGAGCTTTTCAAAAGTGTTTGTTTGTGTGCGCTTTACCTCTTTTGTGGGAAGGGATGATCATAAGACTCTGGGTAGTGGAGACAGGTCTTTATGAGGTGGGAAAGCTGTTCCAGCGAGGGCTTGCTTACAGGGGGAGGAACGTCAGGCTTGAACTTCAGAAGCACCATTTCCTGAGTTTCCTAATTGACAAAAAGCATAAGTTTCATTCATTCTGAAAGCTTAAGGGAATTGCTCCAGCAGAGGAAATTGCTTTGTTTTTCATTCGGTTTAAAGTGCATGCATGGCTGAGAGAGGGGAACGGGGTGGATGAGACGCAAAATGCAAAAGGGAGAAAAGCACGAGCTCACGTGAGGGTTTCTATAAAAAGACTTTGAGATCAACATGTGTGATGCCATTCTCTCACGTGAGGGACTTCCTCTGCCATGAATGAGTGTTGCTATGCAACGGCGTGCAGGGGAGAGATTTCAGACCGAATAGAATCAGGCCCAACAGCAGAATGGAAACGGAGGAAAAAAATGAATGGATTACAGAGCAAATGAACAACTGAAAAAACAAGTGAATGAATGAGGAGTTGAAATGGAGAAGGGACATTTGGAAACCAAAAGAGACAGTTTGAACACTGACAGAATTCAAAAGTTTTTACTCACTCATGTTGTTTCAAACCTATATGTCACTTTTAAGTATGTACAAGCTAAAACTAAATAAAAAACATTTTTATTAACATAAATAAAAATAAAAACTACTGTAACTGGGGAAAAACTACACCAAAATGAGTTTGAAAACTAACTACAATAAAATAACATTTTAAAATTAATATTAGTTTTTAATATTATACACTTTTGTTCCAAAGTTTGGGGCTGGTAAGATTAATGTTTTTGAAAGAATTCTCATCAAAGCTGCATTTATTTGATGATAAATAAATAAAAAATAAGTAAACATTTTAAATATTACAATTTAAAATAACTGTTTAACAGTTTTAATTTTAATATATTTGAAACTTATTTATTCATATGATTCATATGATAAAGCTTTCAGCTTTGTCATGACAGGAATAAATAACATTTTAAAATATAAAACCGTTATTTAGCTTTGGCAAACCTAACATACTATAATCTTATGTAATCTGGCGCTGTACCATAATTCTCAAATTTCATTTGCACTTCCATATATTCAAACTCAGCATGTTATTTTTGGTTAAAAGGCATGTGCGAACCAATGCTTAGTGTCACTGATTTGAATAACGATTTTCAGTGAATAATGACATACATTTCAGTTTGATCCTCACTGAAAGATGCCATGTGACTGGACTACTTTTATAGTGCTGTTTGTAGCTTGACAGCTCCTTGGTGACTGTCTGCTTTTGTTCTGTGGACAAGAGCTGCTAGGATATTCTGCGAGAGGTCTTTTTTTGCATTCCACTGAAGAAAAGCACCATCCGTTCAAAAGTTTGAAGGTTAGGTGAGATTTTGAGATATTTTGAAGGATGTCTCTTATGCTCACCAAGGCTACATTAACCCTTAAATGCATACCTCGGGTCTTTAGTGACCCAGGACGTCATTCACTACCCTCTTCCTCCTTCATTTTTTAAAGTTAGACATCAACTTTCTTAGTATTCCTCAACAGTGTTGGGCAAGTTACTCAAAAAAGTAATTGATTACAAATTACTTATTACTACTTGAAAATTTAAATTTGATTACATTACTGATTACTGCATGTAAAAAGTAATCAGATTACTAATTACTTTACTTTCAAGTTACTTACTAATTACTTTACTTTCAAGTTACTTTGAAAACATTTCAAACTTTAAAAAAGTGAAAATTGTAGTTCTTTCAGTAATTTAATATTGACTGAAACATATTCCAAAGGTATGAAAACAGCAACTTGACAAAGATTTAATCCATTTCTAAAACTTTCTTAGTATAAACCTGCCTAACAATGAAAAATGTATCTTTAAATGTGCCTACAGTGTTTTATATACAACATTGCTTGCTGAGTGTAGGGTTTATGTGTATGCTGGCTTAACTGTGTGCGCATTAAAGACAGAAAAAACCGTAATAAATTGAAAACGGTTCTGATAACATTTGAAAACAATATTGATGAACATACAGTGCATATTTGAATGCTAAAAATGAATCTTGCTTCTTTGTTTACGGTGGTGATGTGGGTGATGTGTTTACAGGTTTGCGCGTTTCACGTGGATGATTACCGTATGAATAGCACGCGCTGCGGGAGGGGTGTGATCACATTACAGATAATGAGCTCAGACAGGAAAGACTGGACCTCGTGTTGGTTTCATACGGATTACTTCATCAGAGAATATTTGTTTTACATAAGACTTCATTTAAAAGTAGACACATCAAGCTTTCCATAGATATGTTTCTCATGTCTGTGTGTGTGAAGTATTCTCTGAGTTTTGGTTCATTTTAGTGACGCGTTTCAGAAAGAAGTTCGCGGAGACTGAGACGGCTGAAAGCGCACGCTGTTTATTTTTTTATTTTACAAAAGCACAATCTTTTGTTGATATTGTGAGTGTACACAAATAAAACTAGACCCTTCACAGATTCAAATGATGCATTACACTTATATGTACGATCAAAAATGGCGGAGTATTTTAAGTTATATTTCGCTGTTATCAGGAAAAAATGCAAGTGATCGTGCTGGCGCCTCCGTCGACCCCATGCAAAGCGTGATTTTGAAAGGCATATAAATATTTTGTTTTCTTAACACTACATTTGTTACGCAAATAACTTAATTATATTGACTTTAGTAACTGTAATCAAATTACACAAATTTAAAATGTAATGCGTTACATTACTGCATTACCAGAAAAATTAATTAGATTACAGTAACGCGTTATACCCAACTCTGTTCCTCAATCTATTCATTATAAACAATATAACAAGAAAACAATTATAAAATATGTTTTCTGAGAATTTTTTTTTTTAATTTATAGGGTCACTAGCTGCTTTGATTTTGACACCCAAGGTATGTAATAGTGTAAGTATAATTTTCCTACGCAACAATAATTAAATATCTGATGACTCAATAAGTGAAATTCACCTTTATTCCTCAAGGTGGCACTGTTTAATAGACAACGATGACGTGATGTTTCAATCATAATTACCGCAGGCTAGGGGTGTGCGATATATATCGTCTGCGATAATATCGTAATTGTTGTTTTAACGATGTGCGATTTGACATTATCGAGTATTTTGCAAAAACCATTCAAAACATCCCTACAGAGCGCACGCATACATTACGTGAAGTCTAGACTAGTGCGTGTGCGCATTTAGTGTTTTTTTTCACTGCATGATTCAGTCTATTCAAATGCATTTAGAATGATCAAAAATTCAAGACATGATGGCAGAAAATTTATATATTTATACCACTTCATATAGTTATTCAATTTCACACGAAGAGTGCCGTTTTTCTCCAAAAATTACCATGATTACAAATGTGACATTGAATTCAATAAACAATAAGTTAATTAAGAAACTTATAAATATAGTCTAATTATCGTTATCGATAAAATCCCAGAAAATATCGAGATATTATTTTTTGTCAATATCGCACACCCCTACCGCAGGCATAAAACAATAGAATATCATCAGCATAAATTTAATTGGCTTGAATGGCTTTACTGCAGACCAATTACTGTACACAATGAAATATAAGTGTCACTGTCATTTGATGGTGGATGTGGTGAATAAGCTGCCAGCAATCAAAATATGGATTTTGAAGTCACTGAAAACGAAAGTTTTGAGAATATGGTTGAGATCATGAATATGAGGCAGATGCTGAATGTACCGGGGAAGTGCGCTCTGACGATGACAGCGATGGTAAAATCATCTGCTCAAATTGAACCCTACTAAGTTTCAAAAGGTAACAAAATTGTTATTAAAATATCAGGAGAGTTTTATGCTATTGCAGCAGTTAGAGATCCATCCGTGTTGTATATCTAGGTCTGGGTCGCTAAAGACCTGAATATGTAATAATGATTGGCGAAACATCCATGCATTTTAGGGTTAAATTGATCGAAAATACAGTAAAAACAGCAATATTGTGAAATATTACGATTTTAAATATTTTCTATTTAACATATTTTAAAATGTAATTTATTTTTGTGATGGCAAGGCTGAATTTTCAGTAGCCATGTCTTCAGTGTCACATGATTCTTCAGAAATCAATCTAATATGCTGATTTGCTGCTCAAGAAACATTTCTGATCGTTGTCAATGTTGTGCTGCATAATATTTTTGTGGAAACCATGATACATTTTTTTTTTTTTTTTGAATTTTCTAAAGAATAGAAAGTTAGTTCAAAAGAACAGCATTTATTTGAAATCAAAAACTTTTTGATTATAAGTGACTTTACATTACATAAACTTACATTTACAAACTTTTACACTAAAAGTTTTGATTTCTTTAAAAATAATCTTTTAAACACGAAAATTAACCATGGTTTTATTGTAGTAAAAGTGTAGTAACCATGTTTTTTTGGCGTATTGATTACCAGTTGAATAACCACAGTTTTACTACAAATACCATGGTTAAACTATGGTTAGTGTAGCAAAGAAGCCATGGTTAATATGTGGTTACCATGGTTTAACTATTTGGTTTTATTTGTGGTAAAACCATGGTTCATTTTCATAAGGTGTAGTGTGGGTCTGGAATGACATGAAGGTTAGTAAATGACAGAACAGTAATTTCTAAATGAATCTAAATGAATGAAGATGTCAAATCAGCAGAGAGCTGTCACTTTGTACAAAACACCCACAGAGAATGCTCCGATTCCTTCACCTTGTTAATATTATATATTAAATCCCTGTGAGAAACACACACACATACACACTCCCACACAGTCCCACTTTTTCTGCTACTTATTTTCACCATTACAGACCTACAACAGGCAAGATTATTCTGTGCTGTAAACACATTAAACCTCTGAATAATAATCTATACATTCAAAAAGGAATAAGCTGCCAGCAATCAAAATATGGATTTTGAAGTCACTGAAAACGAAAGTTTTGAGAATATGGTTGAGATCATGAATATGAGGCAGATGCTGAATGTACCGGGGAAGTGCGCTCTGACGATGACAGCGATGGTAAAATCATCTGCTCAAATTGAACCCTACTAAGTTTCAAAAGGTAACAAAATTGTTATTAAAATATCAGGAGAGTTTTATGCTATTGCAGCAGTTAGAGATCCATCCGTGTTGTATATCTAGGTCTGGGTCGCTAAAGACCTGAATATGTAATAATGATTGGCGAAACATCCATGCATTTTAGGGTTAAATTGATCGAAAATACAGTAAAAACAGCAATATTGTGAAATATTACGATTTTAAATATTTTCTATTTAACATATTTTAAAATGTAATTTATTTTTGTGATGGCAAGGCTGAATTTTCAGTAGCCATGTCTTCAGTGTCACATGATTCTTCAGAAATCAATCTAATATGCTGATTTGCTGCTCAAGAAACATTTCTGATCGTTGTCAATGTTGTGCTGCATAATATTTTTGTGGAAACCATGATACATTTTTTTTTTTTTTTTGAATTTTCTAAAGAATAGAAAGTTAGTTCAAAAGAACAGCATTTATTTGAAATCAAAAACTTTTTGATTATAAGTGACTTTACATTACATAAACTTACATTTACAAACTTTTACACTAAAAGTTTTGATTTCTTTAAAAATAATCTTTTAAACACGAAAATTAACCATGGTTTTATTGTAGTAAAAGTGTAGTAACCATGTTTTTTTGGCGTATTGATTACCAGTTGAATAACCACAGTTTTACTACAAATACCATGGTTAAACTATGGTTAGTGTAGCAAAGAAGCCATGACCATGATACATTTTTTTTTTTTTTTGAATTTTCTAAAGAATAGAAAGTTAGTTCAAAAGAACAGCATTTATTTGAAATCAAAAACTTTTTGATTATAAGTGACTTTACATTACATAAACTTACATTTACAAACTTTTACACTAAAAGTTTTGATTTCTTTAAAAATAATCTTTTAAACACGAAAATTAACCATGGTTTTATTGTAGTAAAAGTGTAGTAACCATGTTTTTTTGGCGTATTGATTACCAGTTGAATAACCACAGTTTTACTACAAATACCATGGTTAAACTATGGTTAGTGTAGCAAAGAAGCCATGGTTAATATGTGGTTACCATGGTTTAACTATTTGGTTTTATTTGTGGTAAAACCATGGTTCATTTTCATAAGGTGTAGTGTGGGTCTGGAATGACATGAAGGTTAGTAAATGACAGAACAGTAATTTCTAAATGAATCTAAATGAATGAAGATGTCAAATCAGCAGAGAGCTGTCACTTTGTACAAAACACCCACAGAGAATGCTCCGATTCCTTCACCTTGTTAATATTATATATTAAATCCCTGTGAGAAACACACACACATACACACTCCCACACAGTCCCACTTTTTCTGCTACTTATTTTCACCATTACAGACCTACAACAGGCAAGATTATTCTGTGCTGTAAACACATTAAACCTCTGAATAATAATCTATACATTCAAAAAGAGGAGCCACTAGTTTGGAAAGGCGACATGCAGATCCAAACACAGACACACACAAAGGTCAGAGCCTCTGCTGTCTGACTCTCTGACCGTTTAAAGCACCTCAGGATGCATCCATCTTCATAAAGAGCAGGACTCACTTATAATGCCCTCAAAGTCACATTGCTCCTGCACGCCGTCTCAGATGGAGAAAATAGAAAGTCAACTTATGAGAGGAAGACCTGAGCGAGAGCCAGCGCAGAGGACTGTGTGTTTTTAGCTTGTATTCGAGGCAAGACACCTCACAATGCAAACAGACTATCCAAATGTAAAAAAACAGAAAGGGATAAACACGCAGTACAAGGTGCTAGACACTAAGAAAAGACATGTGATGCAATGGCCAAAACTCTCAAGATCAGTTTGCCTTAGAGGGGTCTGGGTTTGTCTGTAGCACTCATATCCCAGTGAACCACTGAGAAATCTAAGAAAATGTTAAAACCCACAAAATGTTTAGTTTCTTGAATGACACAGGTTTTGCAAGGAACATAAGCACATTAAAGGGATAGTTCGTCCAAAAAAGAAAATTAACTACTTACCCTCAAGTCGTTCCAAACCCTGAAGACCTTGGTTCATCTTCAGAACACAAATGAAGATACTTTTGATGAAACCTGAGATATTTCTGACCTTCCATTTAAGGTTCTTTCCACCAAAACTTTGACGCTTGATAAAGTTTAAAAGATCGTTAAAGTAATCCATATGAATCCAAGTCTTCTGAAGAGACATGAACACTTTATATGATGAACAGATTTAGTTTCAGATTTAGAACAGATTTAGACTTTTACTTACATATAAGCACTGATAAACATGCATACATACTTCATGCACATCAAATATGGTAAGCGGACGCTCAACCACACTTGCTTGACACACAAGAACAAACCTAACAAGAATTAATCTTATGCGTCACGTAAGCATGTGTGTGTCTCTTCAGACGATTCAGATTAAACCACTTGATTCACATGGATTAGTTTTACAATGTCTTTATGAACTTTTTGAAGCGTTAAAGTTTTGGTTGTGTGGACTTTGAAATGGTGGAACAGAAATCTCTCAGGTTTCATTCAAAAATAGCTTAACTTGTGTTTCAGAAACGAATGAAAGTCATACAGGTTTGGAAAGAAATGATGACCATTTTCATTTTTAGGTGAATTATCCCTTTAATACGCTGGGATATCAGTCTTGTATAATAGAAGCATGGGACCACACACTGAACATTACAAATGTTCTACGACAAAAAGAAATCCTTGGACAGCCATGAAAAATGAACCCTTTGATTGTTTACGTCAATGTAGTGTACTACTTTTTTGGCCTCCAGAAGACGTATCCAGGTCTCCAATAAAATCACACACACTGATGAGTCTCAAGGTCCATCTTCATTTTATCCATCCCTGAGCAGTGAGCACCAAAGAATCCTTCCTTCCAACCTTCACCATTCTTCATAAAAAAAAGTCAGAGGACACGTACACCTTTCCCCATATAGCAAGGTCAAGAGACTGAAATTTATTAGTTTCTCACATTCTTCAAAGTGCCTTTATAACCTCCCATGCCCTGCAAAAGCATCAAGGCTCTGACACACATAAAAGCGACTTGCAGCGAGAGTGTCAACAGATGTCCATTACTTGAGCTACAGTGAGAGATAAACACAGCCCTGAATTAAAATCATTTTGACCTCTTTACACCATTTGCTGGCCTGATCTCGGATTTATTTAATCAGAATAGAATGCCAGAAAAAGCATGCTTTTAGTGGGCACTTCAGTGTTTTTGTTCAATGCTCAAGTGCATTATCAATGCTTTTTCTTGAGTTAACGTCTACCACACCCAGTCGGTGATGAATGAATTCACTAAAATGAATATCCTTGCTATCGAGCGTGATTGACTGCTGCAGGTTGAATAAGACACTTGCAAACTTAACATTTGCATATTAAGGTTAAAACATCTTTTCAGAGGATTGTTATGAGTTCAGGCTCTTTCCCATGAGGGGTATTTTACTAACACACTGAATGCTACAAGCAAAAAAATTATTTTGTGTTCAGCCAATTGAGTGGTTAACCTGAGTGTATTAAGATGAAGTCATCTTGGTCTATCAATAACGGACACTTCAAAACACATACACAAAATATTATTTGCTCAAGTATACACTTACCAAGTCTCATTGAAAAGATACAGTGGTCTCTTCCACTAGAGGAAGTGCCTCTATAATCTTTATAGAGTGACTCTGCATTTATGTATTTATAACGCACCCACATGAAAAGAGCTGAACAGCAAGAGAGAGTCATTGTGAGATAATGTGGATGTGTAGTACCTCTTTCTGCGAGAGTGAGCAGGACTCTTTGCCAATGGTTTGCAGTGCAACATGAAGCTGCCCCTCTAAAATCAGCTGTTTGTTGTCCTCCACAACATATGCCTGAAATGGCACATTATATGATTAATACAATTATATTTGTCCTCAAATCTTAAAGCATCAGTAATGTCAGCATGCATAAATTACAACTAAATTTCTAAGAGGTGCTGATTTTCTATCGACAGTCATCAACAGTCATGTTGACAGTGATCAACAACAGTGCAGTTCATCCAAAATCAACCCTTGCAAAGTGCCAAATGCTTAGGTCAATTAGTTTGGCAAACAAATACAAGTTACTGGACAGCTGGCTAGTAATGCTTTTAGAAATCACCTTCAATTATAAGGTTTAAATCAGGGATCTCAAACGGATATTAACTGGGGGCCAGTTGAACAGTTAAAGTGTTTTACAACCAGAGGCTAAAATGGGCCAGGGCTGAGCATTCATGGTTTTTAAACCATTCAAGCGCAATAAGCAGCAAAAGAGTACTCAGTTCAATACTCGCACACTTTCTGAGGCGCTTTACAGTAAGCACACACCCAAAAGGCGCGCACATAAAGTAGCTTCTCATGCAGCGCGTGAGTACAGAATTGAGTTATTTTTCGCAGCTTATTGTGTAAATGTTCTGATACATACAAACTATGTCAAAATACCCATCTTGGTGAGCATTATCGTAAACACAGTCCGTTATATCTTCAGTGAACATAAACAACTGAGAAAGAAAACGCATGTGTAACAGTATACTAGATCAGTGCCGTCGGTTGTAAAGAGACCGCAGACTATTAAACTGATTGCGGTCTCTGTCAATGTTAACCAAACAACAAAAGTCTGAGAAAATCACTCACTGCTCTTAACTGACTTTTGTAACTTTAATTGTAAGGTTTCATCTGTATTTATTTATACAGTGGAGACTATCCAGTGTTATTTTACATTTGATTACTTTAAGTCAAATTCTGTAGCATTTCTGTACCTGAATATTACCGTTAGACCTACCTGAAAACTTAAAGCACTGATTTCATTGTCATCAGATGTAGCTTTGCACACTGCGCCAGCATCAAGAATGACTCTGATCAGCATTTTAGTGCTCATAGCAGGGGGCTCTCTTAACTTGTTATATTTTACAAGATTTTGTAGGCTTTGCATACACATGTGCAGCCCTTGAAAGCCTGAAACCAGAGCCCCCTACATAACAAATCCCAATTTAACCCGTTTACAACCATTCATTTTAACTACATTAGTGAAGCAGTTACTGATGAAAGCTGACAATTAATTTAGTTTTCTATCCACTACTGGAGGAACAAAGAAATATATGCAGATTGTGACTGTACTTCTCACTGTTAGTAAAAGTAGTTATTTTAACAGATTAAAATAATCATCATCATGATTTATGAACTCCTTACAAAACAAACACTAATTTGATCAAATTTAGCAAATGTGCCATCGTATCGTATTTGGTAAATGGCTGCCTCAAACATTCAACTTAAAATAAATTCTGATTTCAAATATGACTGATATCTATCTCTCCCTCAAGACTACTAAATAAAATTGACTCAACTCAACTAAAAAAAAAAACGTTATATAAAATTTACAGTGGCAGAGCTCTTTGAAGTATTAGGCACTTTACATGCATTATCATCACTAACGATCTGTTGCAACCCACAGATCTTTGAAACATTTCATCAGGGTACCTTCCAAAGGACGATGATGTCAAGCTCTACTTCGCTGCATTTTTTGACAATACTTGTCCCACCGTCATCAGTCCCGCTCTGTGGCGTGAGGCTCTTTCTCTGCATTTGACTAGCACCGCCTGCGGACATGCCACCTCTCCTGGCTTCAGAATGCAGACCCCTCCGGAAGAAAAAATCAGCACAAGGAGTGGTAGAGCTGACAATCTAAGGACAAAGAGAGAGAAACACAGTAAGGACTGTTAAGAAGCTGAATGAAGACAATAATTGGTGACGCTTAAAGGGGTCATATGATGCGATTTCAATTTTTCCTTTCTCTTTGAAGTGTTACAAGCTCTTGGTGCATAAAGAAGATCTGTAAAGTTGCAAAGACTAAAGTCTAAAATCCAAAGAGATATTCTTTATAAAAGTTAAGAGTCAACCACACCCACCTAAAACGGCTCGTTCTAACACGCCCCCACATACCTATGTCACTATATGGCTCATTCTAACATGTCTACGTCACGATGTGGGAAGATTTGCATAATGCCGCCAAAATGTTCACGCAAAGAAAGAAGGCGTAACTTTTATTCTCGCTGTAGTATTGTTGCTGCCGCCATGTCGTGGAGATGCTGTGCGTTGCGTTGTGAAAGCAAAACTACTTTGCTTGGCCTTCCAAAAGAGGACGATATCCGCTTCATCATGCCTAGAGCTGATCCGTGCTGGTCGCTGAGGAAATACATCAACTTCGCACTGTGGATCGCCGGATCGGCTTTCACCGTGGATGAAGCAGAGTCCAGCCCGGGGTCATCACATGTGGTTGCCGCAAACCCACCGGCCGCTCCTTCGTCGAATCCGCCGGCCGTGCCATTCTCAAGCCCGCCCACCACCGCTCACTCTAGCCGCCGGCCTCCGCTCACTCTAGCCCGCCATGTGTTTCGTTGTGAAAGCGAAATTACTTTGTTTGGCCTTCCAAAAGAGGACACGACTAGAAATCAGTGGTTAAGTTGTATTTACAACACTGTTCCAGAACAGTTCAACCCAAATATTCATTTGTGTGCAGCACATTTTATGGAGGACTGTTTCCTGATCCTGGAAGAGTAGACTACAATGCCGGCTGTTCTGACTCATAAACTGTAAGTACTTTTTCATATTTAAAGGATTTGCCACTGATGATTCAAACGTGAGTTTTGAGCAGTGTAGAGTAGCGCTTGTTTGTCATTTCTCCGATCACAAATGCAGACATGGTTTTATGTTTACGCGGCGCGATGCAAGGCAACGTGTAAAAAGACAGTATAAGTCATTATTATCAGTAATTATGTCCCCACTGGATGCAACAAATGCCTCATTTATAATGGGTTTTATTGGTTTTGTCTCGTCGTGACGGGACATGGCATCACAGTATGGTAAGGGGCGTAACATTTCCGTCACACACTTGAGGTATTCGGCCAATCACAATGCACTGGATAGCTGGCCAATCACAGCACACCTCACTTTTCAGATCACTGGAGCTTTGTAAAAATCGACACGTTTCAGAAAGGCGGGGCATAGAGGAGAAACAATAATGTACAGTATGTGGAAAATTTGTTTTTTGAACTTTAAACCGCATAAACACATTCCATTACACCAAATACACCAAATAATGTTATTTTTAACAACATCATATGACCCCTTTAATTCTCAGTATCGATCTGAACTAGTAGTGAGAACAAAAGGGCATTCTCACTTGTTCGTTGCCGAGGTTGAGGTCGGCAAAGGTGTATTTTTCTGCTGCATCTGAAGTAGCTGAGGCATTGAGGGAAAAAAATGTCAGTATGTTCAAACTTCATTATGTTAACCAGTTTGCTGCGTTTTCATTGGCTGTGAGCAGCTGTGATTGTGGAGGCAAAGTCACATCTATGAATTTATTCAATTCAATAAGAAAATTGTCCACCTCAACAGAGTTTTTATGTGCATTTTGGAAATCAGATTCACATCTTGGTCTTTCCAGACAGAATTTATGCAACGGTGCAAATTTAGCATGGAATGGAAATACATAGAATACATGAGGGTTTGTGTGCATGTGTGTGGACTGGACGCCCCACCTTCCTCCGTTCTGCATCTGGTGGCTTTGAAGCACAGCTTCCCTCTCTCCCTGCTGGCCAGCTTAGAGTCTGCAAACAACACGAAATGAAGGCAAAAACAAGAAAGATGATGAATGCCCATCCATTTCTTCACAGAAAATCTTTCTTTTTGCTGCTCCCACATCAGATAATCAAATACAGAAAAACAGTTCAGATGTCAAGGCCAGTTAATTAACTCTTCAAAGCAAAGTCAGAATTTTAAAGTGCGTTTTGTTGCCCTTGCTCCATATTTTACAAGTTGTTTTCCGTGTGTCAAAGTTTTAGTTTTAATTAGCGACAGCATTTATGAACTCAGCATCTTCATGTGAACTCAGGTCATAATTACACTTATTTTAATATGCCATATGATAGTTTTGTGTGCGTAACAGTCCAAAAAGTAATTATTAGTGATCGACCGATATTGATATTTTATAACCGATACCAATTATTTGCATGTTTATGTGCCCGATAACCGATATGCAGAACCGATATTTATTTACTGTTATAAAGTAAATAAATGACTGAATGAAGTAAGTCCATACTTCACTTTGGTTTTTCCTCCTTTCAGTCATCTTAAAAAAAGTGCTGAAAATTAGCAGTCTTTCATGTTAAATGTAATCTTCACATTACAACAATATAAAAACATTTCATTTAAAGCATCAGCATTAACACTAATATTAACAATAAGCAAAATAAATATAGAAGGTCTAATGTTTTCAAATGGAGAATATAAATAAAGGAAAGGAGTCATATCAACTTAATTTTAAACTACAGTTTTAGTAGGTTTATAAGATGTTTAATAGGATAAAGAGTGAAGAATAATTCACTGGATAATGTTAATTCCCTGAATAATATTTTCTGGAATATTGAAATATAACAAACAAAACATCGTATTTTATTGCCTCAAAACATCCACAAGATGGCGGCGTTTATCGGTGAATCCGATATTACAAAACCGATATCCGATTACTGTAAAATGCTGTAGACAACAGAGAGCGAAATTAAATTCAGCACTTTTATTTACAACATGCGCCCATTCATGGCTTCATATTATTTAATTCACGCAAAGTTACGTCTTTATTGGGACAGGACTTGACGGATTATTTTACATGACTCCGTGAGTTTGTCTCTATTTCTTTGAGCCAAGCTGCATAAACTGCATATCAGGCATTTGTGTAATACATCTCATTTGTATGGTGGCCGAGAAGTGCAGAACAAACCACAATTCTGAAAACAAAAGAACAAATTACAAACGCAAATGCAAGTCTAAACATAAATTTATTTAGTAAAAAGTGGCTGTGAAACATCAGCTCTAGTGGCGCAGATGGATAAGCGCTTCACCTACTTTTTGATGCGATCGACCCGGGTTTGATCCCGCCTTTTGCCGAACTTTTTTTCCCTCCCTTTTCAAATCTCGTATTAGCAATGGATTTTATTTACACTAAGTGAAAATAGCAGTACTTTTAGCAATATGCTATTTACACTAAGTGCAAATACCTAGTTACACTATGTTAAAATAGCAGGATTTCTACTATCAAGTATACTACTTGTTGCAAATAGTGGCAATTATCTGCACTTCAGTATTGTAGTACATTATAAAACAGTATGCAATAATAACGTATTGAGTGTAAATTATAATTTTAATTTAAATTATTAAATGGATGCCACCTTATTGGTACTATAAAGCCCTCCCTACACCTACCCTAACCCTACCCGATACTTTATTTTCAACTTTTTGATTATTTCCTTAATTTTTATCGAAAATAAATGCCTTTACGATGTGATACGAGATTTGAAAAGTTCGGCAAAAAGCGGGATCAATCCCCGGGTCGATCACGTCAAAAAGCCAAGGGCAAGCGCTTATCCATCTGCGCCACTGGAGCTGATGTTTCACAGCCACTTTTTACTAAATGTAAATATACGCCCCGTATATTTTATTCCATAGTAAGGGCAATTCATACAATACATTTAAACTGAGTTTCTTTAATACCATCTCCGAACTTTCTACCACGACTCTGCTGTTCTTCGGCTGGTTCTTCCTGTATATGTTGATTGACAGATGTCTCGTCCAGTCAGCGGTGAGTAATCCCAAACCAATGGCACGGTCTCAAACTATACCTACTTTTTCCAGTTTGTCTGAATTGTCGTTGTGTTTTCTGACTTGTTATTTTGTTTTCGAATTTGTCATTGTGTTTTCTGACTTGTTATAATGTTTTCTGAATTGTTGTTGTGCTTTCTGAATTATTTTGTTTTTTAGACTTGCATTTGCGTTTGTAATTTGTTATTTTGTTTTCAGAATTGTGATTTGTTCTGCACTTCTCGTCCAGATCTTAAAAACACAAGACCTTTTAATTCCATGATGCTCAGTGTCCTTTCATGTCTCAAGCCTAAGATGCTAAACATAGTGGTTGGCTGGAGCCAAAAGTTGAATAGAATTTTTTTTTCTGCATTCAAAGACTAACGACAAGGCAGTATTCTTCATTTGTTTGTAGCTGTAGGTTCCTGCTCCATCTCCTCAGGTTGAAGTCACTCTTTTCCTTCAGACCAATAAATTAATTAAAAGTACTGAATTAAAAAAAACTTCCAAAAGCCAATGTAGCGTAAAACATAAATACAGATAAACAACACCAGCCGCTGGGCTTCTGTATGAAACAGAAGATTGATTTTACAAGTTCACACACTTAAAAAGCAGACACCGATTTAGCTTTGGAAGTGGTGCGCTCGGTTAAAGACGCATTGAAGCCATAAGTTCTTGTCCACATATTTTCACATTATTAAATGTATTTACCTCATCCAAGCTGACGGTACGGGACGATCACATGCACGGGATTCAATTTTCAATTTAGTTAGCCACTAAAATGCGTATGCCTGCATGTTTTACACACTCAGCACAATTTCAAAGTGGCCTAATTTCATCTCAGCATTTCAGAGCTGCTGGGACATCCACTCTCTTAGCAGGATGGCACAGGACCGTGCACAGTGGAAATGGAGCGTCAGACGGGCATTGGACACCAACGGGCGTGAGCCCATGGAATGATGGATGGATGGATGGCATCACTTTCTGCAGCGCATTTCTCTCTCTTAAGGTATCAGCCGTACAGATGACTCAAAACAAATGCAATGTGACCCACTTTCAATAGGCCATTTAAAAGCTGCAGGTCATGGAGTGTATCATCCCGTGTCTGTACCCACTCCCAGCTTCTTTTGATACTCTGCTTGCCCTGCTGGCATGCAATCAAGTTCCTCTGCATCAATATTCACAGTGCTGGAGGTACAGTACATATGGATTAATGTAGGCAGATCGCTCTTTTCACAGCACCTCAAAACAGATCAAGTCTGATGGTTCAAAGGAACAACAGATGGACCCCCAAATATGACAATTCCCTTGCGAGAGACCCCCATCCTAAAATATAAAGGTGGTTTATACAGAAAGCAATTTATGATGTATATAAAAAAAAAATACACTACACTTAGTATTTTACACAGTATAAATGTTATTTTAATACATGCAAATATATAGCTGCCTTTATATTTTAAGAAAGTATTTCTCTACCAAAGAGTAGAGAACAATTTGATAAAAAAACACTAGGTGTAAACAAGAAGAATCAAGCTATTGTTTTTAATCTGAGATGAGACAAGAGGAAATAACATCATTTAATGAAGGACCACCATTATGAATTGTGGATATTTTGCTATGCATCTCGTTTTTTGTTGGATGGAGGAAAAAACTCATACTGGCTTGGAACTAGTGGTCAACCGATATATCGCCAAGGCCGATATATTGGCCGATATTTGGCATTTTTCAAATAGCAGCATCGGCCGATAAGTTTTTCTTTTTGGCCGATGTGTTAGAGGCGGGACTTCTATTTTGACGGCGCCGAGAACGGCTGCGGCAGCACCTGAGCACACAGTGCTCACATTCTCCCACTTGTTCGCTGTTGTCATTCAGTTCTGTCTAATACGGATAGAAGTCTATCTAATAATCAGATAGAACTGTTAAACAAAGGAATTAAAATGTATACAAAAAGTATTATAACGATTGCTTTAATATTATTAGTAACAGAAAGGCAAACATTATAATACATTCTCATTTGCCGTCAGCATTCAGCATATACGTATTTATATCATTTAAACAAATCTTTGAATGACTAATGAATGAACATTTAATTTCACAAACCTTGCAGTCGAATCTAGTTGAGATCTTGTGAAGTGTGCATTTGTATCCTGCATGATTGCATGTTCTCTGCGTGACGGTCGATCCGTGCAAATTGAATGCTGACAGGAGGAGAGTTCAGCGTCACTGGAGACACGCGATCGGCATACTTTAAACTCGTGACTGATTTCAAATTATGCTGCGCTTTATGCATTTGCCCACTGTCATATTCGTGTCATTTTCATTGCGTGCTGTATGTAAAATGAGTGTTACCTTGGCTTTATTTGAAAAAATAAATAAATAAATAAAAATTCCCAATGCACACAAACTTCCCAGAATACTGAGTGCCCTGTTGGTTACAGTGTTTACTTCCTTTTTAATTAGATTTTTATTAAATATTTATTTATTTGTGAAAATGCTTTGTCTTCTAAAGTTTAAGTATGTTTATTTTACACAATTATTTTTAATCCATTTTCAAATGATTTCAAATTTCTTAAATATAAATTAAAATAAATAAAATTATATCGGCCACCCTGCTTTCCAAGATATCGGCATCGGCTGTCAAAAAACCCATATCGGTCGACCACTACTTGGAACCAAATAAAGGAGCGATCCACAGTCTACCAAGCAATGTGGAGCAATGCACTTAACCCCAGGTGGCTGCAGGAGGAGTGAAACTGTCTGCTAAGCGACTAAGTGCATGTAACCAGAGCATACTGGAGGATTCATACCTTCATCTCCCACAGGGTTGATGCACTTATGCAGCCTCCACTGCCGACTGCTGCTGGACACCTGAACTATGTGGAACTCACGAACACTTGCTTCACTCTGACACAGAGAGAGAGAGAGAGAGAGAAGAGTCAAATCAACACACATCATTCACGAGAGATGAGATTAAACTGATCTCCACAGAGAAATCAACTCAGATCACAGAGGAATGGATGGTGACTGTGTGAAAACTAATGATTTGGACTGTCAATTTAATATGATACACTAATATAATATACTCGTATTATAATCCTCCTAAACTTGAATCTTTGCATACAAGTTGAGATAAAGCACATCATAATTTCACATCTGTGCATCCCTAATGCGACAATGTTCACATGTTTCATGAAGTGCAAGAACAGAAAGTATTAAAATGAAAAAGAAAAACATGAGCAGTCCATGTGTGGGAAAGAGCTCACTGTGTTAATGTTCTCCACGTCCACAAAGACCAACATGCTGCCGTTTTTCTCCTCTGCTTCTTGCTGTTCTTCTGTCTCTCTCTCTCTGCCGTGCAGTGTGTTGCTGCGGCTGGCCGTGGCTCTGACGCTTAGAGAGCGGCTTGTGCAGATGAAAGCAGTGTGTCGAAGGACCCTGTGACTAAAAGTTTCAGAGAAACGAAGATGAGTCACTGGAATTCATGTGGTAGTTTTCAAACTCTAAATGATGTTAAAGGTCAATTAGTCCTCTTTAAACGGCAGACAGCAAATTTCCAAATGAAAAAGCATACGCTTATGTTTGATTATCAGCCACTTAACAGCACAAAACCACAACTGCTCAGCATCAGCAGTATCCAGTGAAAGGAAATGAAAATATCTTTAACACTATGTAGAATAAGTTATATTTTGGAGATTCTGCCTTTATTAGTACAGTTGAGACGACACAGGAACCAATATTTTTACATTTCTACTTATTGTGTTAAATGATGCCATTTTTGGGTCTCTAAAAATAGCAACTATCACCACTAGACCACTTTGCTTTTAACAGGAAACAATGGCATTCACAGGTATTGTTTGTATAAATAAGTAGATAACAATAAACAACTAATGTACATTTACATTACAAAACCTGCTCCATATTTATAACTATTACATAAATGTAATCGCATAACATTTTTATAAAAACTATTTATATTATTTTTACTATTATTACAATATTATTACTATTTATAAAAGTATTAGCAAGGATTATATAAACACTATTGTTACTAATATTACTATTAGTATTAATATTATAACTATATTATTATTGTTACTAATAACCACAGCAGCATTTGTATGGACAATGACATTAATTTATTAACTATTATTACCATATTATTTATAATAGTATTAATATATTATACATAAACTATATATAATAGTAAAATTGTTATTAATATTAATATATAATAACATATATATAATATATAATTATTATTATATTATTGTTGTACTATTATTATTATAGTTACTGTTAATTATTATTATTATATATAATAATTATTATTTAATAATAACTTTTGTATTATAAGACATTAAAAATTTTAAAAAATAATTAGTAACTGGTTTAAAACATTCATAATAAAAAAAAATGTATATTGTTGTAGTCTAATGATTTAAAAAAATGTATTTATTCAATTAAAAATGTTGTTATCGGACACTTAAATACAACCTTCTTTATTAGTATTGCAATATATTGTATTGTATATATAATTAAACATATATTTCTTTGCTATACAAATATTGCAATACACTTTAAAAAGTATACTAAAGTTTTAGTGAAAAAAAAAAAAATGCATATCTTTAAACAATAGGCTGCTACTACTACCATGTGAAGTCTTAGTTGCATTTAATTTCCTAGATTGCAAAATGAAAATAAGACAAAGGCTTGAACCCATAAATCCAAGTGCACTTAGTGAATTAATCAGTTCTGGCCTGGCCAGTTCACACAGGCCTGAGTAATCCTGCTTAAACCCTGCACAGTTCTTTGTATTGTCCATTATTAGTCCAAATAAAGCTAAAATGGCCACATACCTGAGTTTGGCAGTCTTCTCTGTACTCTCATAGTAAAAGAGGAAGTTGATTTCATGGACACCCTCTTGGTCAGGTCCCCTGAGCCACAGTGGGATCTGTAACGCCTCCCCAGGTCCCAACACACCTCGTGATAAGGGAATCTCCGTCACCACCAACTGATCACTGCTGGTGACCCCGAACACTGCTGGTGACACGAGCGACACAGTCGCCACTGATGGGGGCATGGCCACAGTCTTGTATGCGGAACAGTGCTCTGCTGCTGTGGGGGTCACTGGGGTAAGGTCAGAGGTGGCACTGCCGAATGTGAAGAACTCTGGGTGTGTGGACCCCACCCGAAGACCAGTGAGAGGGACTGCACTCACATTTACAAACTCCACCCACGCTTTTCGGATCTCACCACTCAATAAACCAGTGGGGAAGTTAATGAAAAACACCTAGGTGGAAAAGGAAAGAGAAACAGTAATTACATGGTTTACTATTATAGTTTGACGATTGGCATAAAGTCTGGCACACATGTAGCTTACTCTTGCAAAGAACCGCCACTTAACCCTGCCAGGGGCAGGAAGTAAATAAATAATTTAGGGCTAAAATAAAAAAAACAGAAATAAAATAAACTGCTTACAATATGAATTTCTGTTAATGATGTGTTACTAATTTCAGTGTTACTGAAGGCAAAATGTTTAATGCAAAATAATAATAAAATATTAGTATTTTGTAAGGAAAAATGACGGTTTTTAATTTCATAATGGATTCTACTGCTTTTTTACATGGTGATATAATAATAAAAATTTGATCTTAAAATGAATCTGGACTGACTTTGTTAAAACCTTTTCAAGAGTGTTAGCAGAATAAAAAAATGCCTCGTGACTAGAATATCAGTCGAACTGAATCTTTCACAAGATGATACATGAGATGATGCATACAAAACCATTCTGATTTTGACTTAGTCAAGCCAAGAAAATCAAATGTTTGAAATTTGAAAATGGAATTGTGTCTGGGCCTGAAAGGGTTAAACAGAGAGCAATGCAACAGTTAATCACAGTAAAAAAAAAACATAATTAATCATTTTTTGTTACATGTGTGAAATTGACATTATCACAACAATCGAGTGCAAAGTGCAAACTTATTCACATAAGAGCATAGATCTCAGTCAAAGTCTTTCAGTCCAAAATCAGTAATTACTGATTATTTCACAGACATAACTAAAGCACAGCTTGAGGACTTTGTACACTATCTTTTTCAAAAGAGATTCAATGCCTTGAAATAAAAACTTAAATCCACTTCCTCAGAAGACCTCACGTGGGCACCCTGAATCTTAGAAGCATTGGAACATATGATTTTTGCCAGCTTGACAGTCTTTTTTTGTGATCTTTCTGTAAAAAGATTAAATTTTGGGACTTCAACAAGTGAACCAAAATCTTCATTATAATACCAACATTTTTGAGTCAAATGAATCATTGAATCAGAATTTGATTAAAATAAAGGAATAGTTCTCCCAAAAGCAAAAATTAGCTGAAAATGTACTCACCTCAGGTTATCTAAGATATAGATTGGTTTGTTTCTTCATCTGAATAGATTTGGAGAAATGTAGCATTACATCACTTGCTCATCAATGGATCCTCAGTGAATGGGTGCCGTCAGAATGAGAGTCCAAACAGCTGACAAAAACGTCACAATAATCCACAAGACTCCAGTACATCAATTAATTTCTTGTAAAGTGAAAAGCTGCGTGTTTTTAATAAACAAACCCATCAAGATGTTCTTAACTTTATATTGTTGCTTCTGGCTAAACTATGAGTCCATAATCCATATTAAAACTTCCTCCAATGAAAAAAAAATCCATCCTCTGTTGTCCTCTCACATCAAAATCCACCGACATATTTGTTTAGAACTGTTTTTGCTTGTAAACTGTGCTTAGTTTGTGCATGTTTCTCTCCTGATTCAGATGAGATGACTTGTTCACCGAAGAAAGCAATATTATAGATAGAGGACTCATATTTTAGCCAGAAGCAATGATTTGAAGCTAAAAATGATGGATTTGATTTTCACTTCACAAGTTGTTAATTGATGGACTGGAGTCATGTGGATTATTGTGATGTTTTTATCAGCTGCATGGACTCTCATTCTGAGCACCCATTCACTGCAGAGGATCCGTTGGTGAGCAAGTGATGTAATGCTAAATATATCCAAACGTGTTGTGATGAAGAAAAACTCATCTACATCTTGGATGGCCTGAGGGTGATACATTTTCAGTAAATTTTAAATTTTGGATAAACTATTTCTACAAGTGATACAGATATTTTGAACAGATAAAAAAAAAAAAAAACTGAACTTGCTCTTACTTGATTTTTCCAGACATTTAAAACATAGACGCTAATAAATTATTTAAATCACTGCAATATTCACAATATATAGCTTCATTTTACATATCCCCACCAAATTCATTCTGAATATATAGTGAATGTTCAATTAATCACTCAGACCTTGCAGTGCAATATGAGCACAGTAAATCATTAAACTGTCTCAGTTTAACTGTGACGAGTGCTTTTATACTAGATCTGCTCTCAGTTCTCAGGACCATTCTAAATCCATTAGTTTATTAAAGCTCAAAATCAAAGTTTGACACCCTCAAACACACCTCCAATAAGGGCATAGGTGGAGTGATAATGGGGTCCAGGCGGCGGTCTGGTCCATATCCGACGGAAGTCTTTTCTTCTTTGGTCATATTGAGTCTGGGTCCCTGGATCTCCAGATTCTGCTGTCCACGAACACACACCAGATCCTCGGCCAGCGAGCCTGCAACACAAACCAGTCACATCTACAGTTAGTGTTACATCAGATAAATAACTAACTGTTGGTCTCAGAGTTTACAAAACATCAAAGAATGAGTGTTTGTGATACACCTTCACTGTTGCCCACTTCTCCAGTGCCCAGGTTGTACACCACACCAAGAACATGCAACTCTCCGGTCTTATGAGGAAGCAACTTCAAACGGGCCTGAGAAAGCGAGAGTGAGACAGCCCAGAACAAACACGAGAACAAAAAGTCCATTCAGGTAAAGCAATGGTGAAAAAGAGAAATTAGAAGAGGAGAGATAAGAGAAAAAGGCGCACGAACCACTTTGGTCTCCTCTGGACTTATGGTGAACTCTGGAATGACTTGCGTATCAATGATGTCTTTGAGGGCCGTGGTCTGGAATGGATTCAAATCAAACTGATGAGAAACTCAAAGCTGGGCACCTCAGGCACGAAGAGCCGAGAGACAATTAACAGTCTTACTTCTTTCTCATTGCTGACGGTTTCTCCGGTTGCGCCGCCCTGAGGGTCAGAGAAGCCTTTCAGAGTAAACTTCCACAGCAGAGACAGAGCCGACAAAGCCAAAGGAACCTTCAGGGGATTACGGAAAACCACCTCCACAATGATGGGCTCTGTGATGCAAAAACAAGAAAGAAGCCAATGTATTAACAGCAAACGACATGATGGGAAGCAGGAACAATACATGACTCAGATCTGAGGATGTACCGGTTGAGCTGGTACAGTAAAACTACAAAAGGCTCAATAAATCCTGAAGTATCAATACAGTCATTATGTCACATAAAAATATACATTTAAATACACATATATGCATGGGATTGTGTGACAATTATTATTTGTTTGTTTTAATCTATTTATAAGATCATGTTCTGTAATTGTTGTTAACAACTGATGAACAAAAACAGCAATCTGATCATATGTAGTTTAGGCCTAAATTATGGCATTCAAATATACATTACCATACACATTACAGTGAAAACATTAATATCAGGGCTGCACGATTTGGCAAATAAATAAAATTGCAATTTTTATTTTTGGTTAAAATTGCAATTTGTGATTTAAAATGCAATTTATAAAATCAATTAACAGTAACCATATACAATATATATATATATATATATATATATATACACACATATATAAAGAACACCATATGACAAAAAATAATAATTATAATTATTAATATATGCTAAATAAAAATATTAAACAAAATAAGAAATATTACTCTTGTAATAGCACTTTCATTATTAAAATAGAGTATTTAAGCATAAATCAAACAATATAATAATTAGAAAATAATAATAATAACAATAATAATTTTATTTTACAGAAAAACTGCAAGGTTACCTGTTAACATGCAGGCAGCATGTAACTATAAATCATTAGAAAGGTACCTAATTACACACAAAAACTCTTGAATCATTTTGTTTAGAAATAGTATGCTTTATGTGATGTGCAATGCTGCTGAAATATTTGCTAATGAGGAATACAAAGAAGTAGGAAGATGGCAGCATCACTAAAGGGTGTTTGCAGGTTCATCCTGTTCCCCTCTCGCTGTGGGGGTGTCGACAGGTGAATATCCGGCAATTATGATAACTAATTCATTTCTGTGATCAATACTAGTCTTACTTACATCACTACACATACCACTGATGAGGCTGCAAGAGAATTCAATCAGGTCAAATACAGGTAGCTCATGAAATAGAGGAAAGCAAATGGTGAATAATTCATCTCAGTCTAATTAAATATACAACTAACAAACCAAGACTGCAGCCCCGCAAGACATCAAATGCAATAAGGAAGACACTAAACCACATCAAAACCTCCACAGAATTCAAGCGTTTGTGTCAATGGAGCAGTCAAGGCAGTATAGATGTCTTCAAATAAAAAACTGGAAGACCAGATATAAAGCACAAATAAAATTGCTTAAAAAGCAGTTGATGCACGAGGGATAACGTACCCTCTACTACGGCGAGGGGGTATCTGAGGTTGTCCGTCTGACTGTTCAGGCAGCATTGGGAGGGCTGGAAGGTGATGGGCACCGTCCCTCTATTCGCCACTGAGACAACCCGCTCCTCCAACTCCCTCCACAGCTGGGAAAGATCCCGGTCAAACTCCTGCTCCAAAGAGACATGAGTTGCAGCTTGTTTCTCACCTGTGGAAAATCAAGTAAGAGATTACATAATGCAACTGGTAGAATTATCAAAAATTTAAGTTAAAATGGGTATAAAATAAAAAAAAAATTATAAAATGGACGGGTATAGAAGGTAAATTTGTGACACTGATCTTTTGACACCATGCACAGGTCATATGTTCTGCTTCCACTGAAGCTCAAGACTCTCTGGATCATTCCCGATAAAGCACAAGATCATTGGGTTTCCCTCATAGACTGTATAAAAACATGGACGTAGTGTCCGTGATGTCACCCATAGGTTTCTGAAGAGCATTTTTGAAGCCCAAAGTGGGCGGAGCCGGCCATCACCATCTTGGCAGAGCGTCACTTCTGGATAATCTAAAATGGGCAAAGAGGCGGGATGTGGGTGGAGCTGGTTGCTGAAACCACGCCCACCTAGCGCTCCAGTGGTGACAGCAGCAGCAGTCCACCGGTCACTCAAGTGGCCACGCCCTTAATTATTCAGAACCTTAAGGCTTAATATAATTTAAACGGATGAGACATAAAAATAAAAAAAATCACCCTCTCACAGTTGTCATGAAGGGCAAAATTAGCTATATAGACCAAAACCACTTTTTATACCAGGCTGTAAACATTTTTTTTGCTGTAAATTTGGGCATTTTAACATGGGGGGGTCTATGGAACTGACTCCCTTTTGGAGCCAGCCTCTAGCCAGTCGATGAATTGCAGTTTAAGTCACTTCCGTGTTGGTTTCAAGAGAAAGACCGGAAGGTTGCCGCTTGGTTTCCATTCACACATTTCTTCTCTCCTTACAAATATGATTGACAAATCATGGAAGCGTAAAGGGAATATTATGGAAATCAAGAATAAATAAACTCAAGAGAGTTGGCTTATGTCCAATCAGCCGGTGTCTCAGAGGATACTTGGGATTCAGAGCCTAAGGCAAGTGGTGCATTGGAAGAGACAACAGGTTCATACATTCATCATTCAACACACACCACTAAAGCCTCCCTCCCTTTTCAGTGTGAGATCCAGGCAAAGACTTTAATTAAAAATGTTTTCACACCTCCTCAGGCCTGGTCTCTTCACTACATCATTTACTCATCATTTTTTTCAACACACATCTGAGTTCCGTGATATTCCTGAAATGAGTATTTTTGTTTGCTTCTCTTTAATTAAATTAAAGCTCGTTGCAGATATGGAATGTGGTAGTCCATGTCCTTTCTCTCAATTTAAATGTAATTTATTCAGTGATGTAAGGAGCGGCCCCTTAGCAATGCTCCTCTTTTTTGAGTCTCATTTGCAGTTCTCACAGGAAATTACTTTTTTTCCCCGAGAACATAAATGGTGCTGTGTTCATCTTCATTTCACTGTGGGCATGATGGAAGAAAGGTCATCGCAACTGAATGTGGATGTCAAAATATGTCATTTGTAACACTAGTGCTGTGCTATGTTTATTTGTGTGCAGGAACAGTCAATTATGTCATGTTCAGTTCATATAAGGCAATATGCTTGCTTTTTGTATGAATAACTAAAATTACCATCTGTTTCCCATAAAAATGCTTGGTATATTCTGTTGAAAGGTTTAGGGTTGGTAAGATTTTTTTAAATATTTTTTAAAAGTATTCTCTTATGCCCACCAAAGGTGCATTAATTTGATCAAAAATACAGTAAAACAGTAATATTGTGAAATATTACTACAATTTAAAATAACTTTATCATATATTTTTAAATATAATTCATTTCTGTGATGCAAAGTAGGCTTGCTGTGATAGATGGTACTGACGGTGATACCGGTGTTAAGCCGCAACACCGGTTATGTCACTTGCCCACCGCGGCACCGACCCCCAACGTCGTTTTGATTTTTTTATAGCAATAAAACTCATTTAGTTCAGTAAAAGAACAGACACCACAATTAAAAACTGAACACAGCTGCTCAATGCAGCGTGCTGAACGACAGTCACATCACAGATCAGATTTCATTTCTCCAGTGAGGAGAGTGAGTCGAGCTGACTGACAAGAAGAATGGGGTTGGAGTTGAGGCAGACAAGATGATCGCGGATGATTTAGTTTCGAAACTAGATGCAAAAGCGCCTGTTTGGCAATATTTTGGATTTTGAAAAGCCTGTTTACTTTTGCCGTTTATCTAAGCTGATTTTGGAAGTTTTTTTAAACATTTGTTTCTTATTGAATTGGTTCCACATTGTTTGCTGATTTTTACTTTATTTAAACTTTGTGTCATTTATTTATTTATTTTTTACATCAAGGTGTATGCCGTGCCTCCAGGTTTTCTTACTCTTTTGCTAATAAACGTTCTACGTTTCTTATTTATTTGGTTATATATTATACATGTTTACTTGGCCTATTTCCAGTTTTGTATACCTATTTAAACTTTATGTAAGTTATTTGTTATTTTATATTAGGCATAGCCTGCCCTATAGCATGGTGTATTTTTATTTGTTTTGTTAATAAAAGTTCTATGTTTTATATATAGGCTAAAGTGAGTTTGCCATTGTATTTTGTTGTTGCATTCAAGCAATTAACGCCGAACTGCCGCTAATTCGATTAATTAATTCAACTATTTAAAAGCGAGGAAAACAGGGGAAATTCAAACGAACAATTGCTTTACGCAGAATTGCCGCTATTTGAAAGTGAAAGTAAAATGTGCATGCAGCTTTTACAAGCTATTTAAAAGCGAAGGAAAGCGAGGAAAAGAGGGAACGCCCCGCCCCCGCGGTGATACCGGTATTACCGGTGTTGTCACACGTCGATTAACTGGTGGGAAAATTTCCTCACTGTCACAACCCTAATGCAAAGCTGAATTTTCAGCATCATTACTCCAGTCTTCAGTGTCATATGATCCTTCAGAAATCATACGAATATGCTGATTTGCTGCTCAAGAAAGAATGCTGAAATCAGTTGTGCTGCTGAATATTTGTGTGTAAACTGTTTTTCAGGATTCGAAGAATAGAAAGTTCAAAATAACAGCATTTATTTGAAATAAATGAAAATGAAACATAAAATGTCTTTACAGCCACTTTTAATCAGTTTAATACATCCTTGCTGAAAAAAATAAATGTATTAATTTTAAAAAAAGTATGGACAACTTTTATGGCATTTTGTCATTTTTTGGGTGATTTTCACTGTATGCATGAGAGCAGCATGAACATTTTTCTAAATATCTCCTTTTGTGTTCATAACATGAGGGTGACTAAACGACTTTTATTTTTTCCATCATCTTCGTGTGAACTATCACTTTCTAGTGCACATGAATGTGTGAGACAGACGGAGGCTGCTTACCTTCGGCGAGTCTGCGTTCATGGCCGAAGAACACACGTGTTTGTGAGCTGTGCAGGCAGGGCAGAGGCAGCTGTGGGAGGGAGCCGTCACCACTCAACTGACTCATGCTCTGAGGGCAAAAAGTCAAAGTGTCAAGATCAACATCACTTGAAGAAATGGCTCTTCTTTTCACCTACAAGTTGTACTCAGGCATCCACGGAGTACCATCCCTTCTATTGATGCCTTCTGATTGGCCAACAAAGCTCATGTGATCACGCAGTGCTTCTGCACATTAAATATATGCCCCTAAATGATTAGAACTATGAGTAAAAAGATAACTACAGTGATTTTTCTAACTAAGCTTAAATAAAATATCTATATAATCAGAAAAAAAAATGGCAAAAGCACAAAAAAACAAATTAAAAAAAAAATCATTCAAAACAATTACAAATAAAAATAAAGAATTCAATAGTATATAAATAACACTAAAATAACATTGCAATTACACTTTAAATAACCACATTTGGAAGTCTCATTTCAATTCTGAATCATGGAAATGTGTTTTACAGAAGGGGTCTATATAGATAGTTGAGAATGATCATATATTGTATCAATGAACTGCACAAAGAGCTTTGCCGTCTATGATACGCGACACTGATATTTTACACAACTGTTTCTGGAGTGGTAGATGGGCACCATAAAACTCCCATTAAGAAACAAAACAAAGAAGAACGTTGTCATTTCCTCTTATTATGTATTCAGGCCGGGTGCTTGAAGGTGATGGAGTTCTGTGGACCAGAACCACCCAAGGCCAGAGTGTTGATGAAACAGACTCAACCAAACGATGACGAAAGAGCAGTCTCATGCAGAGACACAGACAGTTAAACTCAGGGCTAAAGTCTGATTGTAGTGGGAAAAAATCTGGGTCAGTGGCCTGAATGTGACACTACCAGAGTCTAGCTGCTTTCTGAGAGCGAAATAAAATGAAATGCAGGTTCAGTGGGATTAAAAATGTGATTACTATTTGATTAAATAGCAAAAATCCCAATGTGGTGTAACCATCAAGTAAAAACAGTAATAATATAAAAAGTAATATTTTCCTTACATGCCATTCAAAAGTGTGGGGTAGGTAAGATTTGTAATGTGTTTTGAAAGAGGTTTCTTTTTCTCACCAAGGCTGCATTTGTTTAATCAAATATACAGTAATACTCTAATATTGTGAAATGTTATTACAATTTAAACTAACTACTATTATATTCTACTTGAATTTAATTTAAATATTTTAATTTATTCCTGTGATGACAAAGCTGAATTTACAGCATCATTACTCCAGTCTTCAGTGTCACGTGATCCTTCAGAAAGCATTCTAATATGCTCATTTGCTGCTCAAGAAACATTTCTTAATATTACCACTGTTGAAATCAGTTGTGCTGCTTAATATTTTTTTTCAGGAATCTTTAATGAATAGAAAGTTCAGAAGAACAGCATTTAGAAAAAAACATATATATAGATAGATAGATAGATAGATAGATAGATAGATAGATAGATAGATAGATAGATAGATAGATACTGACCCCAAACTTTTGAACAGTAGTGTATATTCCAAGTTAAAAAGTATTTAGTACAAATATCATGAATTAATCATTCTAATGATTCATATTTATAATATTTTAACAAAACCGCCATCCTTCAATGAGACTTTTCTTGTACCAAGAGTTTATTATAAAAAGCAAATATGATTTAAAATTTTAAAGTCAATTTTGATTGCATCTTTACTAAAGGCCCGTTCACACAAGGCAGATAACTATAATGTTTTAATAACTGCTCTAATTCTATAAAAATAGGGAAGTTCACACCACAACTCTAACGATAACGACACAAAAGAACTATAACATTGATATACAGCTGATGAACGATAAAAACGTTGGCCGACAGACGACATAACTGCAACGCTCTCTTAATAAACAGAACGTTATCGTCAGTTGGTATGGCTAATATGCTCATTTGCTGCTCAAGAAACATTTCTTAATATTACCACTGTTGAAATCAGTTGTGCTGCTTAATATTTTTTTTCAGGAATCTTTAATGAATAGAAAGTTCAGAAGAACAGCATTTAGAAAAAAACATATATATAGATAGATAGATAGATAGATAGATAGATAGATA